ACACAATTGTCATTCAAAAACTAATGATCCAAGGTAAGCAGGTAACGAACTCTTGGTCACCCTTCCTGGGTCCTTTAAATTATGTGGATTAGGAACGAATGAAGCATGCTTCGAACGCCGGACCTGTAATCAGAACGGTCCGAACAACGAAGTGTGAGCGTCTCCGCTGCGATGCCCATATTCAAAGCACTCCATCTCGAGGACACAAGGTGACAAAAACGAGTATTCAAGCCCTCCTTCCTGATTCACATACCCGATGAGTGCGAAGGCCATACTGGGAGGGAGAGCGGGAGAGAGGAAAGTGCGAGAGTGAGTCTCCTCACCAGTAAGCCTCTATATCCAAAAGTGATACCGACTTGTTCACGGTCGCTCGTGAAGTGGAAAAAGTTGCTTGGTTCCTCATCTACGGCGCAGAACAGCTTGCTTGCGTTACGTGTCCGGTAATAGAGGACTCTACGACCTTCACGAATTTATTTACGTTCCCTCAATCTTTTAAAGAGGAATTAGGAACGATGTGCATTTGGTCTTGTCCATGTTGCTCGAGGCAGTAGCACTATTGTTGCCTCAAGATTAAGTGCCCTCTTGCGAGGTCGTTGAGTCAGTATATTTCTTGAATTCATTTTTGTTTCTTCGCAAGGAGTTTTGTGCTATGAAGGATTTGAGAGATTGGGACAATTAATCGATTTCAGTATCGATACGAGTGCCTTTCATGATTGTAAAAAGAAGGAACTTCCTGAAATCGCAATCCGTCCTGATACAGTCAACGAGAGCCGCGAGTGAAAAATTTTTCTTTTTTGCGAAAGGGCCACAGGAAATCGAACCAGAACAGGACCGGAACCTCTGGTCGCAGAGGGACAAGAACGGTGCAAGAACGGTGCAAGCATGATTTGCGCAACCACTTCCTGCCCGAGTCGCATCTCCTGCACCAGGGAATGCGGAAACCACGGCGCGAACGAGCAAAAACGCCTCTCGGACGCGGATGCGAGTACCCTCCGGCTAGGAAGGCACGACCGAATCCTTTAATAGCGCGAAGACAATGCAGTGACTCAGCATCGCAAGACTCATTCCAGCTGCATGTGATCTGCGTTCTTGGCAGACAGGTGTGGAATGCGAAGGTCACAGATCCTCACATCTTCCATCTAAAGAGTGTCCATGAAGGAACTTGACATAACGATTTTTTTTTTCTCGTCGCCAGCTGAAATTTATCGTTGACATAGTCTCCAAGAGGTCTAAATTCTTTATAGGTAAGCAGCATTAGGAAGACGAAGTCTCCTAAAAATTATTATTCTTAAAATTATTAAGTATTACTCTGCCTTTTATAAAGAAAATTCCACGTCACTCTTGTCTTCCAGGATTGTATTCCCCCATTTGAGTGAATATTAATTTTTAAAAATGGGAACTTTCGAATGAAATTCGCGAAACACCCATCAAATCCAAATCTTCGGAAATATCCCAATCAGACCTTGTTAGTGACACTTCTCGCGATACCTCTAGTGCTGTCAAATTGAAAAATGCAAAGATTACCAAAAATCAACATTTCAAATCTGCTGTTGATGTTTCACTAAGTTCCGGACATAATGTGAAATAAGTATTCGCGACTTACCAAGTGCAACTTAAGAAGTGCAACTTACCCAACTTACCAAGGATTTTTCGTTTCCCTCACTACCTAAAGGTATTTGGGGATCAGCGTTGCTTAAATTTCACATTTTCAAATTCACATTTAGTTCACATGGAATGACCTTCAGTTGATCCACTATCCCATTTATATTAACGCCATTCAACGGACTACAGTATAAGCCAATGATGCTAAGAATCACTGTTTTTTAGTGCGAAGTAGCATCGTTCGGCGCTCGATTTATGCTCTGGAGTATTCGGTGAGGGGATGGGGGAAGCGGAAGTCGAGAGGATTCCCAATGTGCAATCAGAAAGTAGAATTTCCAGCATTTGGACGAGTTGATCCTTGAACTTGAGCATGACCTAGTGCTTTCGAAGTTGGGCAGATGCCACTTTACAATATGGAAATATGAATCTTGACGGTTTGTATCTACATTTCGTAGGTGCAATTTATTCAATTGCTCCGACAAATAATTTGGTTAATCTTATAATTTTTTTGGCAAATTGTCACAGACCAGACTCGTCAGCCAGACAAAGTCCTACATGAAAGATGTTAAATTCCGTCTGTGATTAACGGTTAGGCAAAATACCATTTTCCTTTAAAAATGAGATTTTTTCTCACAATGACTTAAGCTTCCGGTTTTCTTTCTACCGTTTCGTATATTTGGATTTAACGATTTTGTCCTTTTTTTTACTCCCCTCTATTGATATGAAAATGCACGAGTAAAATTATCGAGTACAAATTTTTATGTAATGCATTTGACTTCGTCCCCTCTTAATTTGCTTTTCTCCTCGCTTCTCGCCAAAGGAACAATAAATTTGGTTCATTAGTATGAAGCATATTGAAAAGCTCACGAAGAAGATCATACCCAGGGACCTGGTACAAGACGCAGGATGAATTAGAAACATAAAAGCAGCCCTTTCCCTGGAACGGATATCCTGCTTCCCCCCCTTTTTGACCGTTGATGTCAAAGGGAGAGACACCATGACTAATAATCTGGAACGGAAAACCTTATCGGTTCCATTCGGAAAGCTACGTGGTAGGAAATGTGGAGTCGGAGGAGGATAGGGGAGCAGGAGCAAGGAGAGAGGAGGAGCAAGGAGAGAGGAGCAGGAGCAAGGAGAGAGGAGCAGCTTGAGTGGTGGGGCGGGGATCAAGTAGAGATTTGTCTGTGAGACGGTTTTCCTGTGGCCATGGTGTTGTCTCCTTCGTCCCTTCAATCTTTTCTTTCAACATACTTTTCCTTTTTAACCTTTGAATATTAATATAAATGTATGATTATTTTGCAATTCTGATTTTGTATTTTCTTTCAAGAACTTGCTCTACTGAACCCGAGATTTCCTAATAATCCTACAGTTCAGTGTTGATTAGGTATTTTTCCCTATCCAATACAGGACAGGTGTGACTTTCGTGTCATCGGAGTCTAGACATTCTTCTTAGGGCCAATCGTAATATGATTATGAGTTCATGGCTTCATTTGAAATTGCCGCATCTCGACTTTTCACTGTTCACATTGGCAATTACTACGCCAGTGATTGTCGTTCTGTTCTAGCAGGATCATATGGCATTCGAGCGTGCATTCACACGCAGTGAAGATCCATAAGGAATAACCCGGAGGATTTCCTCAATCATCAAGACTTTCTGATATGATTCTAGCATTAGCATTCTCCTTGTTCCCTCTACTATCCATGGTCTTCGGGGCAACCGAACAGGCATGTCCCACTCAAGAGATACTGCCTTGTGTCTGCTCTGTGAACGAATATGGCAATGTGACTGTGGACTGCTCCAAAGCCAGGACAAGTGAGGAGGTCTCATCGGCTTTGAATAACGCCACTTGGCCCTCCACTCAACTCTGGTGAGTGAGAGCTTTACTCTCGTTGAAATGTAATATTTAATCATGTCTCTGACCGGATTGCGGGAAAATCATGCATACATCAGCCACAAAACTATTGGCTGCCTATCATAACATCTCCTACCCACTGGTTTCATTGAACACAGTCTCTACACAATACCCTGAATAAATAAATAAAAATTGTGAGTGATATGTGTGTGTAGACAGGAGATGTCAAAGAGGCGTTGCTGGAAAAAGCAAATACATAGAGCAGCAAAGTCAGGAATTATAGGGAAATAACAATGGGGGGGGGGGTGGTGCCATTCCATGCCAACTGACCAAGGAATGACGCTCGACCATCTCTAGAAAAAAATAGAAAATTTTCAGGGTTAACTGGTTTTTCATGAAACTCCAAATTCCAAAATATTATATTTTCTTCCAATTTACGTGAGATATTAATTTCGAAAATATAGACCTTCAGGCACGTGTACTCCGGCGAGAAATGCTTGCAATGACTCATATGAAAGGTCTGAAATAGTAGAATCCAATTATTACCAGGAAAATATAAGTTTCATGAAACCTGATTTACATGTCTTTCTCAAAGTATACTATTTCTTTTAGAATTTCACCAACCTATTTTGTTGGATAGAACATAACAAAATCAAAATTGAAGTGCTAAGAGTCCTAATGCATCAAAACTGAAGAAATAACATAGACCGCAGCTGATAGATATTTTTATATTTCGATAGATTAGTATAATCCTTCCGCGTTTTGACACGTTCAGGATTAGAACCATTGAAATTAATGGAAATCGACCTCAATTGGTTCAACTTCGTGTAGTATTTCACATTTTTGCCGGTTGATAACGACATTTGGTCTTTCAACATCGTGTTACAAAGACATTTAACTCTCCGCATGATTCCATGAACTGTCCTTAATCTAGTATTTTCCAAAATTGCATATTTTTCATGATTCATAACGGGTGCGGCAGAATAAATAGCAGGTCAATACTGCGCTAAGTAATTTTCCATTTTTCGTCACTTAGACTTGAAACATTTTTCAAAGACATTTGATTCTCTACAAAATCACATGCTTTTGTTTGCGCAAATAATCATCACCAATATCGACACACGAGTTAAGCGACCACTCCAAGTGTCACATGGTTATCTCAATTGTCAGTGATGTCGACGTCTTTGATAATAATGATTTCAAAACCAAAACCTGAAGAATGAAAAAGCCTCCTTTGTAAAATTTCAAATTAGACATCTAGTGCATGAAGTAAGGTATTGTTCGAAGACAGAACTACTTCTTGTTTTCTTTAAAAGCATCATGATTCGTTGGGAAAATCCTTAATCCATTCAATCCCATTCAATCCTTCATGAGACCAGCCAGAGGAACGTTTTATTCATAGTATTTTTTCCTATTAGGGCGTTCCGGATGGTCGCTGAAGGGCCAATCTTGGATGGAAATTTCCCATCTGGAATCTTCAGGAATCTCACATTCCAGAGTATGGACATCAGACTATGCCCTAGAGGATTATATTTTTATCATCTGGATGCATGCATCACAGCTTCATCTAAGAAGAAAATGAACACTTTGGCCTTCTTTCCATTGAAAAGTAGTCTAACGAGTCTCACCATTTTCCCCGGGATTTTGGAAGACTTTCCCTCCTCTTTTCTTCATGCATTCAATCGCCTTGAATATCTCTGGCTCGCCGGCAATTCCTTCACCAACGTACCAGCACTCAAGATTCGCAGCCTCGAGATACTTAAACTTTCGTTCAATAAGATTGCTCGAGTGGAGGAGGAAGGATGGGAGACTCCGAACCTGAAGGAACTTGACCTCTCCTTTAATTCATTGACCTCCATCCCACTTCTCAAGATTCAAAGCCTCGAGATACTTAAACTTCCGTTTAATGAGATTACTCAAGTGGAGAAGGAAGGATGGGATTCTCCGAACTTGAAGGAACTTGACCTCTCTTTCAATTCATTGACCTCCGTCCCAGCTCTCAAGATGGACAGCCTGGAGATACTTACCCTTTGGGGTAATAAGATCATTCGAGTGGAGCGAGAAGGATGGGAGACTCCAAACTTGAAGGAACTTGGCCTCATCAGTAATTCATTGACCTCCATCCCAGCTCTCAAGATTCCCAGCCTCGAGATACTTACTCTTGAGGGTAATAAGATTATTCGAGTGGAGGAGGATGGGAGACTCCAAACTTGAAGGAACTTGGCCTCATCAGTAATTCATTGACCTCCATCCCAGCTCTCAAGATTCCCAGCCTCGAGATACTTACTCTTGAGGGTAATAAGATTATTCGAGTGGAGGAAGAAGGATGGGAGACTCCGAACTTGAAGAAACTGGACCTCTCCCACAATTTATTGACTTCCGTCCCAGTTCTCAAGATTCATGGCCTGGAAATACTTAAACTTTCGTTTAATAATATTACTCGAGTGAAGAAAACAGGATGGGAGACTCCAAACTTGAAGGAACTTGACCTCTCCCACAATTCCTTGATCTTCCTCCCAGCTCTCAAGATGCACAGCCTCGAGATACTTACTCTTGAGAGGAGTAAGATGACTCGAGTGGAGGAAGAAGGATGGGAGACTCCGAACTTGAAGGAACTCGACATTGGTGAGTACATGGTGTTTTTGGTATTATTACGGAATTATTATTATCATTACGTAGTCTCAAAATGTAATATCTGTACTAAGTTCCTCTAGGAATAACGGAATCGTCTCGTGAAAAGTGCTTCAAACCAGGCACTGAAAAAATCATGTTGCACATGGGAAACTTATTGTTGTGAAGCAATCATCTATCCTGCGAATCTAAGAAACAGTAATGAGGTTCATACTGGGTATATCAGAACTGTTTGTCAATTTGAAATAACTTTCTTCAAGTTTTCATTGCTTCATGGTGGCTCTTGGCGAAGCAAATGTTCAATTCCTAGTCCACGCATTCTTCGAACTCAATCGAGCACGATCATTATTCTGATCATTATTATTTTCTGTGATTGGGACAAGTGGATAGACATTACTACACATAAGACTATTGCAGCTGATTTCATCAAGGCATTTGTAATCAAGCATCGTAATGTCGAAAAGAAACTATTGAACGGTGTGGTTAAAGGAAAATCTGTGTCGTGAATAATGTCTTCGGGCATCTCCATGGCGACCTTTAGCAAGAGAGTGCTAACAAAATTGGCGAACTAAATAAAATGATGAGTAATCTAGAAAATGAAGTTAAAGGACTGCCACCACCAGTCAAATCATAGGAATCTAAGCTTGTTTGGCGATATTAATGCGATGAACGAGGAAGGTCGTCAAGCGAAATCATTTTCAGTAAATTACATTAAGTTCAATCGCTTTTCAAAGTGGAAGTGTCGGGAAATGCAGAGAACTATTCGCTCGCAGTTCTTAGCATTTGGTCACTTTATGACTCTAAAGTGAATGAGCGCAGTCAGCAGACACATTAAAAGAAGACATTGGTTCCTAATCCCTGTTACATTCATGGAAACTAATTTTAAATCAAATCCTGACGTCATGTCTGAGTCAGGGCCTCCATCATCTGTCCTCAGTCATGCCCAAGCTGAATTAAATTACCTGAAGAGAATCACCATTATATCTAGCTCACTACACCTTTCAACTCAACAATTTTTAGCTATTGTTTTCAATTCATCAACTTGCGTTTTAAGCAACTGATGGTTTTTTCATGTTTTCCAAATTACCTATTGATTTATCTGAGATGCATAGAGGAGATTTCGTAGCTCAGATTATATCAAAATATAGTCATGAATCAGAATGGCATTAACCTCGTATTTTTCAGGCATGTCATGTTATTTAATGAATAAAAATGAAGGATGAATTTTCTCCCAGTCATTTCATACTGAAATTGCTTCATATTGAAAGCTGTTTCATCCATTACACACGAATCGATTTTTTCCTTTTCTTGCAGGCTCGAATCGCTTTTCGAAGTTCCCTTCTGCCTGGATCAAAGGACTTCAAAATTTGGAGGATTTCTATTGCAGAAACTGCAGCCTAGGGCCAATCCTTGCGAAGGGGTTCTTGGAATTCCGAAGCACATCCTTGAGGAAAATGGATCTCCGGGAGAACAACATCACACAATTGGAGCCAGGAGCCATCATAGGTGCGACCCCTCATGAGAATCTGCACATATTGTATGATACCAGTATTTTTGTTTGGCCATCGAGCAAACAAGTTCGCTATAGACTCACCATCAGTGTTCTAGGCCATAGGAAAATTCCTAATGCATTTTACGCGTCCTTTTATCATTTTCATACCTACCAGTCATAAGCATTTTTTATGACCTCAAGGTACTTTTGATCGTGTGAAATGAAATTTTCCACATTCTATATTTGCCAGCTTCCATGGAAGTAAAACAATTATTTCCAAATACCCCCCTCACAGAAACTGTGCCCTGAAGTAAAAATAATTAAATGGTATCATGTGTCGATCCACCCGAGTACTGAATTTTCCATTTCTCGATTTTCGATTTTTTTCCATGCAAAAATTACGTTATAACCCACCAAAAGATATGCCTGAGGGCTTATTGCTCCAAATGGTATTTGTTTCTTGAAGTCAAATCCCCATGAACAACATATTTGCCAAGTATTAGCTTTTCATATTTCCCTTTCTCACTGTAGAGAAAGTGTCTTTGAGAAGGACCTAATCAAGTTTTTTTTTCCTAAGGGTATGAACATGGAAATTGAGTTTCCCAAATTAAATATCACAGGAACTGATTCTGTGCCTAACCTTACCTTCTACTTCTGCCCGAGTCCCTGAAGCAAAACAATTCCTTGTAAAACGTCCTACCAAAAAGTATGATCTCATGTGATGTTTCTGAAAAGTTAAAATTTTCCTGAAATTAACACATCAGTAGACACGTTCATGCCCCCTTTCAGCTTTCCATGTCTTAACATTTGGCAGAAGCGAAGATATGTATTTAAAAAATCCCCACCCCCCAAAATCCTCAAAGGATGTGCCTCCTTATTCGAATCGATTCTTAACTCAGCATTTTAATAGCTGATTAATTTTAACGTGGCAAATTTCAATTTTCTGTCATATGTGGAACATGGTTAGACTTATTGTCAGTCATTCACTTCAGATTGTCAATATATGCTACTTGCAATAAGTTTAGCAAGCCTGTGATTTTAATGAATAAAAAGAAATAGTAACTAAATTTATGTACACGAGCACCCATCGGTGATCCAAAACTAGCCTATGGACTTGTCCAGTTGGCCAGTGATGGTCATGAGTCCAGAAGCGGTCATCCTTTGCATGTGCGTAAGATGTGCATAAGATGGAGAATGGAGGTTCCCCTTGTGAAGTAAACGTATTCCTTCTTCCTCATTCCCACGACATCGGTGGCGATGGGAAAACTTAAGCGAAAGGATAGGATGGAAAGTCATAATTTTCCATAAAAAACTTCTCTCTCTGTTTCTCCAAGGACTGTGTTAGGGAAAACGTCAACCTACAGAAAATGCTCCTTTCCCATGTCATGACTATTCTTGAGGGTGCAAATTTAGCTTCATTGCCCCACGGGATTACTATTGTTTCACGCTTCGATGGTCATCCGATAGCTTTCCTGTTGGGAATCTACATTGGATCCAAAAAGACGGACATCCAATAGGCCATTCAATGGACATGGCCAAGGATAATCCTTAGACGGGACATTTAGTCATCCAGGGAATGTCCGAGGAGGATATGCAGTGAACGTCCAAGTGTTCTTGGGTGTATGTCAAATGAATTCATTTTGGTTCAAAATTGCTACATGGGGTATCAGCCCAGGTATAGATCTGCCATTCCACTGGCCCCTGAACAACAGAATTATCTGATTCGCCGCATCAAAACCATCCAACCTTGAAATATATAATAGCTGACAAATTTACGGCACAGGCCGATATAAAAAGGACCGGACAACAAGACATGTTCTCGATGATTCACGCGTCCGTGTCGCGTGGATATAGGAGAAGAGTATGAAGTGTAGGATGCCAGATGAGACATTTTACGAGTATGCAACCCTGTCTACATGGCCGAGAGAAGCTGCTCTCTCCCACTGTCTTCTATGGATCCGTCACTTTTACAATGTGACGAATCAATATTATACATGCAGTAAAGACAACACAAAAAATGTGTAGAAATGCTTTATATGCAGAAAGAGACAGGTTTAATGCTACTACCCTAAATATCGAGGATTGCTAAAACATTTTTATTTGTTAATATATCTAATATATATAGACGATGGTGACTGACTGACTGACTGACGCTAATTCTAACCATGTTCTATGTGGGCTAGGAATCTGAAACTTGGTGCACATGTACCTTTTGGGATGCAGAGTTCAGAAAAAATCCGACTTTGGAGGTGCATACCCTGGGGGAACAAATTTTGGGGGGAAACGTTATTCATTAATATTTTTTTTTGACAAATGAGGATGGCATTCAGAGGGTCAACTGGATGTGCTGGGTTCTGTGGTGTAGTAGTAGCATATCTGACTGGCAGTCGGAATGTCCAGGTTCAATTCCCGGCCATACCTTGGCTTTCTTTTGCTTTTTTTGCCTTCTGTGTCATGTTACTCAATCCCCCTCCACTACATCATTTTTGCTTGAGTAGAACGAAGAGACATGGAAAGCTGAAACTTGGCATAGACGTGTCTAATGAGACGATGTGTTCAGGAAAAATGCAAAATTTTAGATTAATGCCCTGGGGGCATATATTTGTGAGCCGACGTTTTCAAGTCCTTTTTTGTCCTGGCGTATTAAGCGGAGTTGGGAAGATGAAACTTGGTATGTAACTACCTATTGGGATGCTGCAGAAAACTTCTGATTTTAGAAGTAAATTCCCTGCGGGCATAAATGTCAAAGGGAGGTGCTTTCAACTAATTTTTTTGCATCTGGTAAACTGGTGAACATGGAAAGCTTAAACTTTTTATGAATGTGACTACTGAGACAAGGAGTTAAATAAAAATGTTAAGTCTCGACACATCCTCTGTGGGAATTTTTCGAGGTGCGATGTTTTGAAAAAGAAATTGGCATGGCGAATTGGAAAGAAATGGAAAGGTGAAACTTCGCACATGTATAATGACATGATATTACTGAGCTGAGAGAGTATTCAGCTTTCATGGTGCATCCCCTTCGGGCGTAGCTTTTGGATGGGTCGGCTTTTCAAAGCATGTTTTTTCACCAGCAAAAAGGACAAATGTATAATATTGAAACTTTCGGGACATGTACATCTCCGGGCAGACATAGAAAAGTAGCTGGCGCCGCATCACTGACGTGATGTTGATTTAAGGAAAAATTAAACTTTTTTATACGTCTACTCAGAGCACAGCTTTTGATTGGGTCGCTTTTCCATATACATTTTTTTCGGCCAGCAAAAAGGGGAAACGTATAAGGCTGAAACTGGGTGGCATGGAGTTCCCTGAGTCTACATTTCAAGAGAAAAAGAAAATTCGTTAACACCCATTAGTGCACTTTTTTCAGGCCCATTTTCCTGATTTTTTTTTTTGCTCCAACGAAACAGAGACATGAAATTTAAACTTCCCTCAGAAGTACCTGTTTGATGGCTGAGTAGAAGAAAAATCATTATTTTGAAATATGTATCCTTTGCGTAGATTATTGGAGCGAAGTTTTTGAAAATGTATTCTCTACCCTTGCAAAAAGGGACAAAAGAAAAGTTTTCAAGTTAGGCACAAGGAATCATAGAGGTAATGATTTTGATGAAAGAAATCAAGACATTCGACCCCGTATTTCACGTATTTCAATGGGGACCTACAGTATTTTAAATACTTGTTTCCCAATTCGCAAAAAATGAATGAATTAATCACTATCCAAGGTAAGGGAGCGCCGAAGGCGCGACCATAGCGAGTTTGTTTGCCCGAAGGGCAAACAACGGGCAAACAAACTCGCTAGTATTAGATGCGAGAGACGTAACTCAGTTGCAGATTGGATGCTGTTTGACGGTTTCTTAAATTGTCTTATGGTCTGTTGCCGAGACCATGTCACCCTGTGCGTTCCTCATTCAATATCATCGAACAGGTTAAATCAATTTTAAATCAAATGTTTGGTAGCAGCTCGTCTACCTTCCCTTTACATTTTTCTGCAAATTATTGCCTTTGTCCAATGGTACCATGGAATGGAACACGCTGGAATTTCGGCAGAACTCAACTCTTCAGTGAGTGGGTGAAAACTGAAGAAAGCCTTCGAATCAAAATGGAGAAAAGGCTTTGATGCAACGAGACACTACTCGAGTTTTCCACAGGGACTTTGGTGCTATCATAAACCATTCCATGTTATGCTGAAGTTTATATTTGGAGTTGGAAAAACCGTTGGTTCCAGAAGTTCCCATATTTCCATTCCAGGTCTGAGACCGAAAACGATTCTCGATCTAAGTGGCAACAACATCACTGTATTTGCTGAGGAGAGCTTCGGCCCCATCATGGACGTTCTCTCGCTCGGACATGGACAATTCATTCTCGGTCCTAATGACCCCGATGGTCCTGGTGAGTTGTGCTGCTTCGCCATTTCATACGGTTTTTCATCTTCATTCAGCTATTCGCATTTTTTCTTTCCATCCCAGGGAATCCCATCCAGTGCGATTGCGACGCTGCATGGTTTGTAGCTAGTCAGGAATTCCTCAGCAGAGTTCGTGGGAGTTGCATTAATGGAACGAGATTTGAGGACTTGGATGTGCATGCAATGAAAAGCTGTCGGTAGGTCTTTGTGCGATCAGATGAAGGTCTTTTGGACTTCATTGGAGGACGCGCACATGGGTTCCAACTGTTTTGATTTTGGCTTCACCAAAATGGGCGCGGATGTAGATGTGCATGTAAAAAAATGGTGAAGAAATAATGATTTTCTGTAGTTTTCATATCTGTGACGACGAATAAATCTGGTTGCACAAATTCCACGGTTATATCTTCTCAAAAGGCCTATTCATGCTCAACATAAAATAATCTGGTGCAGTCCACAAACTGCAACCAGGTCGTCTGCAAATAGTAATTGCGTGAAAATCCACATGCAATTGTTAAAAAGCTGTTGCTGAATAAGTATGCCATCAATACTCAATTTTAGAGTATGGATGTGTAGCTACGATAAGTGAAATCATTTGGAAATCAAACATGCAGTTCTCCGATGAATCCAACGTCCGTAGTATAATTTCAAATATAAAACGTTCCTTAATCCGTCTACAAACTGGAGCCTTTACCCTATTTATAAAACAATGACCGTGCCTTTTTAATATGTTTACACATGACGTCCAGTCAATTAGACGATAAGTTATTCATAGAAATCCATATGCTTTAGTTCAGACGATACATAAATTGAAAGCGGGGGAAAACTGGAATTTCCCAGTTCGCCCCTTTTAAAGCCCTTCCCTCATTATTTTTTTTCTCTTTAACAAGGGTCGTAACAGGTAATCGGTCGTCAATATTCAGAGCCTCCTCCTGCGGCGCGTTCGGCGTTCACACGCACACCGAAGAGCAGCTGGGGCGGTGGATCGCGGGATCGAGCTCATTGACATCCGCAAAGTCGCGCTGTACACCAAAAACTCTCATATACGGGTTGTCGCGAAATGCTCTTGGATCCTCTCTTCCCCATCTCCCGGAATAAGATGTTCATTTTTCGAGAACCGGAATACATGACAATTGCGTTTCAAAAATTTCACAAGTCAATTCATTCGCCAACATCTGAACAAGACAGGCGCGGAACAGTTGAAAACTCAATTTGTAAACCAGCTCAAGTTTGCGGTTGTTTAATAAACTTCTTGTTATTCGTCGTTTTCCCCATCCTCAATATTTAAATTTGCCTGATATTACTATATAGACGATCACGGGTGAGTTAGTGTCTGACGCCAATTCTAAGAACGTGCCAGAGAGAAGGGAAAGTTAACATTTGGTTCATAAGTATTACTCACTCTGCTTTTTTTAGTATAAAAGAAAAAATTGGGATGCAACGCCTGCGGCTTCCTTGATTTCAAATCTCCCAGAAACATTTTCTGGTCTGGTCAAGGGAAATGTAGGTGAAACTTGGTGGAGAAAGAAGCTTGGATTCCCCAAACGAGACTTGTGACCAATTTGAAAATTTTCCCTTTAAAAAACATAAACTTGGTTTCAGTTTTCACCTCATCGTGGATACTGCTGTCAGCTTTTTTTAATCCATAATTTCGTTGAAAAAAGAAAATGCCTTTCCGCATAGAATATTTTAATTGTGCGGGGATGTAACTCAAAAATGAAAATTTTCCTAAGATCAAAACCTAAACAAAGCGTGGTCAATCAAAATGAACCGATTTGTTTAAGGCTTCGTGCTGGTCTTATTTCTTGCGAATACGACTGGAACCCACTTTTACTGTCCCGGAAAGAGACGTGGAGAAATTAGGGAAAAGAGAAATATGCGAAACACGAACGGCATCTGATCTTTACATTTATCAGCCGAGCTGTTCGAGTAGCACATCGCCTTCTTCCTCTCGCGTGAGAGGGAGGTGACGCATGAAAGGCGATGCAGCGCTGGCGATGCGAGGGATCGAATAGACGCCTCTGAGTTAAGGAAAAACGTTGGCATTTTCGTCGGTCTCATTCTCCAGATCGACAGTCGTCCACATGTGAAAGAATCACAGTCCCCGGCGTGCAGAGAGATAGCCATAAGCTGTTGATGCAATGGTACGGACATTCCCGAGGACAGGCATGAAAGAAGCCCGAATCCAAGTCCTTGAATTCCGTAGGTAATACCGTGAAGGGTCTTTGCATGAAATCCTTAAAGGCCGGCTCGTGATCGGTGCTGTAAAGTGTTAGTGTGTCCTACCCCAACGGACCTTATTTCCGTGTTCTTTCTCACGTTTGTACGACCTGAAGGAATTATGCGAGATACATGACAGGGTGTGTAGGAACGAGAAACCGTAAAACTCACCGCTCAGATCAAGGACTCCATCTCCCATAGAGAGGATGTCTAACATCGGGCGGAAGCTCCCTTCTGACAACACAGTGATTTTGTTTTCGTTGAGATGGACCGTCGTATCAGGTCGGAGACCTAGAATGCAAATTAATTCCGCTATGCGAAAAAGTACTGTAGCTTGAGACTCCTGGTCTTCTTTAAAGTACGTTCCTGAGGTGGTGGCTCTAGCTTACGCCATGAAGCATTTAATATACAGGGTCCGGCTGAAACAATCGGAAATAGGGAATTCGTACATTGTTACTATATAGTATTATGCTTGCATACGTAACGAAACAAACTCACTTTGAATTCATTGTTCAATGGCTGGAAAAGAACAGGTGTTTAAAATCGGCACCGCCTTGCTGTAGGCATTAGTGCAATATATTTCCGAATTCCGCACGAACGTGAGTAATTGTGGCACTACCAATATCATCACATACATGAATAATTCTGTCTCGAAGGTCGGCTAGTGAGAAAGATTGCGTGCGATACACGATTGTTATGAGATTGTCCCTTATCTATCTGATTGGAAAGAAAGTTCTCGGAATTTCATGAACAATTATTACATCCCAGTTTATTTAAAAGCAAAATCATCTCAATCATGAATGTAATCACCATTGGCCTCTATCACTTCACGGCAACGTTTATGCAAACTATGGATGCCATTCCAATAGAACTCTGGCTGCTGCGCTACGAAAAATTTGGTCAAATCGGTTTTCAGGTCGTCTCGGTTGGCGTACTGCTTTCCACCCATGTGACGGTCCAGGGCAACGAAAAGGTGATAATCGGACGGGGCAAGGTCGGGGCTGTAGGGCGGATGCGGCAGCACCTCCCAGCACAGGTCCAGTAACTTTAGATGAGTCTGTCTAGCGGTGTGCGGCCGGGCATCGTCGTGGAGGAGGATGGTTCTCTGTCTTTCTGGGCGTGTTTCAGCCAGTTTCTGCTGCAGCCGATCGAGTTGCTGGCAGTAGTAGGCAGCAGTGATGGTGGTGTTTTGCGGCAACAGCTCAAACATGATGATGCCTTTCGAATCCCAGAAGACCGAGAGCATGATCTTTTTGGGGTGCAACTCCTGACGGGGTTCTCTTTCGG